GTGTGTGTGTGTGTATGTGTGTGTGCACGTGCGTGCGTGTGCAAATGTTCATCGTGTCGTATTGTTTCACATGCAGATGTTCAGCTCATCACGTTGTTCCTTGCGCAAATGTTCAGCCTGTCGCATTTTTCCACATGCAAATAATTCCTCCATGCGCGAATATTCATCCTCTCACGTTCTTCCGTCCGTGAATGTTCGTCGCATCATCATCACGTCGTTCCATGCACGCGTATGTTCATTGTCCCTGCGTTGTTCCGCACGCGCAGATGTTCATCAACGAGTACGACGATGTTCCGTACGAGGCGATCTCGTACCTGACGGGAGAGTGTAACTACGGCGGCCGCGTCACCGACGACTGGGATCGCCGTCTGCTGCTTACGATGCTCGCTGACTTCTACGACCCGTCTCTCATCGGGGAGCCGAAGCACAAGCTGTCGCCGAGCGGGCAGTACTACGTTCCCGCGAAGGGCTGCCACGAGAACTACGTCACCTTCATACAGGTGGGGCTGGCTGGATGGCGTGATGTTGAGGTTGTTCTAGGCTCGGCGGTTGTTCAAGGCTGTGGACGCCATGATTTTACCCCGATTTTGGGATTCTGTTTTCGGATTGTGGAATATTTTGATTTCAAACCACATCTGCTCATTCATATGCTTACAGTGAATGTTTATGTCGATTTTTTGTATTTTAAAATTATAAGAGGTTACAATTATAGTATAGAAAATACCATGAGGCAATATAATATTCTAAAAGGAATATTATATACAATTACTAATAATCATCAATCGATTAATCCATCTGTCTCTATCTTTATCTAATTAAAATGATCTATTAGATGATTAGATCTACAGATCTATAGACTAAGATGTTAGATCTATAGAACTATCTTACGATATCTATTAAATCATATCGATGGATAATAACTGACGAACTCCGGCGCGCTGCGAGCAGAGTCTTCCGGCGACGCAGAGACCCGAGGTGTTCGGCATGCACGACAACGTGAACATCTCCAAGGAGCTGCAGGAGACGAAGGAGCTGTTCGACTCGGTGCTGCTGACGCAGGGCCAGCACGGCGGCGGCGGCGCGAGCAAGACCGACGACGTGCTCGCCGACATCGCCAACGACATCCTGTCCAAGGTGAGCCGCGCCCGCCCGCGCGCGCTCGTAGCTAGCGCTGTAGCGGCTCGTAGCTAGCGCTGTAGCGGCTCAAGTCCATATAGTTTCGATACAAGGGAAGGTGAGATGTCTATTTTTAAACCGAGGGTGGGAAACAGTGGGAAAAATCTTTTACTTATACTGCAATTGAAGCTTGGAACTCTCTACCACAACAAGTTAGGTCAAATTCTGTTTATTCTAGTTTTAAGTATAGGGTTAAGAAATGTCTGATGGAAAAGGTAGAAACAGTAGAGGCAGAGGAGTATGATTTTCGCTAAAAGAATTCGGTTGAAATTAGGCATAAAAAAAGTTTGTATCATCTTATGAGAATGTACCATTGTATGACCGGTTAAAACTACATGTATAAACTACTGTATATTTCAATAGTTAGTGCTGATAGTATTAGTAGTGTAATGGTTAGATTTAAGGCATAGCAAAACAAGGACCACAATGTAAATAAGTGCATGTGCTAGTCATGCTTTTTGTGTATATATCCTCGGTAGTTATCCAATTTTATGAATTCAGAATTTTATTGTAAAAGTATGCTATGTATTGTATATGATGGATAATTGCCTAAATAAATAAATAAAAAACAACAACTAAATAAATATCCGAATAATGTAACATATTTTAATATTACCAATATAATTAAATGAACAGTGACCAGTCAAATCCGGTGGCTGTCTCTCCAACATCGCTGTGCTGTGGACATGCATGTATAGATGGTGCTTGTTACAGGGCACACTTTGAGCAGCACGTCGATGACTGGCGTCAGCTGTACGACAGCAGTGAGCCGCAGAAGGCACCGCTGCTGCCGCCGTGGGAGAAGAAACTCTCCGAGTTCCAAAGAATGATCGTCATCCGCTGCCTCCGTTCCGACAAGGTCTGTGCTTCTCACAATGCGTCCCCATCTTTATATATCTGTTATACATCATTATAGCTTCATTACGCATCTTCATAAGTTCATTACGCATCTTCGTAACTTCATTACGCATCTTCATAACTTCATTACCCATCTTCATAACTTCATTACCCATCTTCATAAGTTCAGTACGCATCTTCGTAACTTCAATACGCATCTTCATAACTTCATTACCCATCTTCATAGCTTCATTACGCATCTTCGTAGCTTTATTATCCATCTTCATAGCTTCATTACGCATCTTCGTAGCTTTATTATCCGTCTTCATAGCTTCATTAAGCATCTCCATAGCGTCATCACGCATCTCCATAGCTTCATCACACATCTTCGTAGCTTCATCACGCATCTTCGTAGCTTCATTACGCATCTTCATAGCTTTATTATCCATCTTCATAGCTTCGTTACCTATTTTCATAACTTCATTAC